CTGTTCTCAGGATACTTTACCACGTGATTAAAGAAGGTAATTTTTGTAGGAAAAGTCTCTGGGATTTCCTTCCAGGACCTGGGAATCTGCCATAGTCCTCGCTCTTCTAAGCTGTTTATTCTGGAGCTCAGCCTGCATTTGCAAGGTCATGCCGGATACTACTCATCACGCTGTGTTACCTATGCATGAAACCCTCATTTTTTGCAAAGCTCACAAATATATATTCATGTCATAGCACCTTAATGTCCAGGGATGGTCGGAGCATGCCTAAGCAAGGGGGGCTGCCCCATGCTCTGCCTTAAGCGTGGCAAAACAAGGCCCAGAGGGAAGTTGTCAGTTGGAGTCTGGAAATCTTATGGGAAGGTTTCTGGAACTAGGTGGAGTGGAAAATATAGACCTTGCCTTGTGTGTTTGCAATTAGTTATGTGTGAAGTAGACCTGCCAAAATGGAAAGCAGTGTCCATTTTGTAGCAGTAATTATTATTGTGAAGCCATTTTCAAGGTGGGATTATGGGCACTAAACTGCTGGGACTGGCTGTGCTGCCCATGCGTTAAATCCTCATTTTGTACAGACTTAATGAAAAAGATAGTTTGCTGTAATATGTTCTGTCTTGTCAGTTGCTCCTACACAGCTGTATTGGGATGCTTTCTTTGTGCTTAATACATGGCAGTGATAATTTTTTCACATGCTCTTTCTGTAAACGTTCCACCACAAAACATTCTGTTAAACTGGAATTAAGGTTGTAAATATGCATTAATAAGTTAGAGCAAATGCTGTACTAATTGCCTGCCCACACAGCCTCACTGCCATAGATGGAGAAAAAGCTGCTGAAGAACATTGCAAGCTGGGTTCTTATCCCAGAAATCTTATTCTACCTCCACATACAGGGGTCTGACAGAGAATCAAATTCTCTGCTGAAGTTTATAAGAAACACACTCTAGAGTATCAGGAATGCAAAGTTGCACTTCCACTTTACAAACATAAAGGACAGGATTGCAAAAGCACTTGTCAGTGGCCTAAATCTGCTCTCCTTGGAGTAAATGGCATTTTCACCACTGGCAGTAGAACTAAGCCAGTAATCCCTCCTTTTGGAAATGCTGTCCTGGGAGACGTGAATTAAACAAATCCTATTCTTTGTGATTCGAATTAAACAAAACAGTTTGGGTCTCTTTTGTTCCCTCAGCTAACATCTTTGTACAGTCTCATCAGCCTTTTACCTACAGTTACATCATAGGATGAACCACACAGCAGAGTGATTCCAAATTTACTTTCTGTTCCAGCCACATGAAATACATTCTACTGCCAAAATTCTCTGCTAATTCCTTCAGGAATCAGTCAGTATTATTTTCCCTCTTAACTCTGGCAGATCTGTCCATTCCCGTGGCTGAAATTAAATTTTTTCCTGTTTCATAAGATCATATTTTATTGTCAACATATTAGGAGGGAGAACAGTATCAGAGAGCATGCAAATCAGATAATAATTACCAGAAAATTGAATAATGGTAATTAATAATGATACCTTTCTCTGTATGATAATACAAAAAATCACAATGGTGTTGTGAAGCTTGGTTTATTCCTACCTGTAATTTACTTTAAGGTCTTAGAATAAAAGGTGCTTAGAGTTGAAAAATATCATTATTAGCATAAAAATGAGGTATGTTCTATTTATTTTGTGCAATAATTTAGCAGAATATATTATTACACAACTTTATACTGTAAGCACAAGGTCACATAGGATATGACTTGTCACACTGTGTTGCCTATGCATGAAATCCTCATTTTGTGCAGAGCTCTGAAATATATATTCATGTCAGAATATCTTACTGTCCAACGACAGCCTCAGAGTTTCATTCTATTACATACTGGGGAAAAGATTCAGCATCATTTGAGAGGTCTCTTCTTCTCTCAATACCCGAATGAACTCGCATTAATCAAAAACCTACAAACACTCACCATGAGAGAGCCAGCCCCAGCAATGCTCTCCTCAGCCTGAGACATAATGATATCCATTCCACCAGCATTGTTTTATCATTTTGGTGTGACGATCGTGGTCAAACAGCCAAAACAGAGCATTGATCTTACAGTTACCTGAAAACAGAACCTAACTTCACAATAAATGAATGAAATTGTTTCTAGGGATGGAATTTCTCTGGCATTGCCACTGTTCCACACACTGCACAGACCTCAAGACAGATAATGAACCCTTCTCCAGACTTCCAGTCAGCCTAGGAGAGCACACACTGGAAGTTCAAGCTCTGCTTACACTGAGCACACTAATGGCTGCAGTTTGAGATCTTGCAGAACTCTGTTAACCACCTACCCATCAACTCGTCATTGTTTTGCCCATCTTTGGATGTTTTTCTCCTCTAAACACATTCCTACTGCAGAATAGAAACAAAATTATTTCAATGCTATGTCTCAGGGCAGCCTTTTTTCTTTTCTTTTTTTTTTTTTCTTTTTTTTTTTTTAGCAGCCATAAAATTGAGATTTTTAACAGTTTTAAGTGGGACACCTTGCTCAACAAAATTCTTAAATCTAAGGCAATGTCAGTTTGCATTAAGAAGAGAAATATTACCTTGGTCTTCAACAGCACAGTAGAAATCAACAGCAGTTTAGAGATCAGAGCATATCACCAGTGTAGCCTCCAGACCAGAAAAGAAGGTTTGACATGATACTCAAGCAAATAGCCAGAACAGAACAGCAATTAACAGTTAACAGGCCAATTAAATTAAGAGCTTTCCTTGAGAAAATAGCCTCAGACCTTCAGAGATTCTAGGATGTAAAATGACAAAAGATGGAAGTGCATGGGGAATTTCCTCAATAGGCCTTTTATCCGCACAGTGTACAAACCCAGAAAACTCTGGCCAAAATGTCAATGTAGGAGAATGTAGCCACATAGAGGAGGGAATAACAAGAGGAAAGAAAACAAGAGATTTTGAGTAATGACCTTCTAAGCAATGGAAACATAACTTTCTTCACAGATTTCTCCAGAACCAAAATTTTGCATGGCTTGACATTTGGTGTTAACCTGTGTTTTGTACCCTTGTCAGGCAACATGTCACCACAACATCTGGTAATGGAAGACAGAAATCAAGGGTCTGTAGCCAGCCACACAACCCTTTGCCAGGCCACTGCCTCTCCCTTGGTGGCCCTAGACATAGCAAAGGGATGGATACACACACTGAGAACCAAAGCTACAGCCCTTGGATAAACACACCCAGCCATGGCACCCATAAGCACTTCCACCCATTTCTGTTTCACTCACTGTTTCGGTGCACCATCACCACAATGCTGCTGTGAGCACAGGCTTCTCATCATCACACAACACACAACAGTAAAGCCCACTCCCACAGATGAGCATGAAAAGTGAATGTCTCAAACTCCCTGTCCCAAACCCCTTTTCACTTACACTGCTTCATAAGTCTACAATATAAAGCATTTTTCTTTCATTCATGAATTTGACCTCCACGAACTTTTCAAGTCAAACAGTTCAAAGAGATAATAAAAACCTATCTTTGCTACTTTTCTCAATCTCACATAGCTCAATGCACTCTGAATTTGGGACATGTAGGAGCACAGCCTCAGAAATATTTGTAGGTTCATCACTGTGACAGAAACAGCCTGGAACCAGCCAAGTGTCTTCCCCAGCCCCTATGTCCTGCTACCTCAGTAGTCATTTTGCTAGTCCTTTTGCTGCCAAGCCCTGGAAGGAATTCATGCATCTCCCAAACATTCCAGTATGGGGATAAGTGTGGCACAGCAGGACTCGTAGCCAGTGTATTCGGGTCACAAAACCAGGGAGGTCGCTGCCCCTTAGCCACATCCAGCAGGACAGAGGCGCCAATTTAGTTTTACAGCTTTCTAGCACTGAGATGTGTCCGGGGCCGGGGGACTTTTTGATGGACACATGGGAGCAACACTTGCAGCCTGTTTGAAAAGGTCATTTCCACATTTCACAGCAGTGGCTTATGGCGGGGGCGGGGGGCGCAGTGTCAGATCAGCAGTGTGGGGGCTGGTGTTGGCAGGGGGAGGGATCCAGGCGTCTTTCTGGCTGTTTCGGGTGCGTGTGTCGTGGTGGTGGGGGGAGGGGGGGAGAGGGGTAGGACATGGAACACAGTTCTAAGCAGTACGAAAAGCTAAAGCCATTCCTTGATTGAGGGAGGTTGGGAGCAAGAGGCTTTTGGGGGATAAAATGTTAGGAGTGCCGATGTTTTAGAGCAAGATCAGGGTTGGTGCTGTTCGGGGGTGAAGCTGTCTGCAGACAAGGGCATTTGGGAGTGAGGGAGACTGAAACAAAAGCATTGGGGGCAAGATGTTTGGAAGCATGGGCAAGAACCATTGAAGGTGAGGGTGTTGGAGGCTGATGGCACTTGGGGGATAAGAGCATTTGCAGAATAAAAACATTTCGGAGAGAGGACATTCGGGTCAAGGGTATTTGGCAGTCGGCAGGTTCCAGGGTGAGAGTGTTTTGGGGAGAGGGGTTCTGAACTGCTGCCAGCTCCCAACCGCCTCCGCCGGTGCCCACGCTCGCTGTGCGCTGCGCCTCTCGGACACCGGGAAAAGGAGCCTCATCAAGCCGCCCCGCCACCGTCCGCGCGTCTCCCCCCGCTGCCCATTTCGGGGCCTCTCGCTCCCCAGGAGCGGAGGCCCGCGATGGTGCGGGCGCGGCGGCGAAGCCTCCCCCTCCATGCCCGGGTGGGCAGTTCTCCGCGCCCGGCGGGGCACGGCGGCGGCGGGCGGGGGGCGCGGGGGGCGGCCGCGGGGGCGGAGCCGCCAGTCAGCGCCGGGCGCCGTGACCCCGGGGCGGGGACGGGCACGGGGACAGAGACGGGCACGGGGACAGGCGGCCCCCGGCCGGCGCGGCGGCGAGCGCAGCCCGGGTGCCCCCCGCGACACAGCCACACACACACACACACACACACACGCATCAGGCGGGGGGAGCTGCTCGCCCCCGCCCCAGCGCCCGCCCGGGTCCGGCCGCCGCAAGCTCCGCACTTACCCGGGCCGCGGCGAGGTGTCGGCGGGCGGGCTCCGGCGAGCCGCGACTGCGGGGGGCCGGGGGGGGCCGCTTGGGTTTGGGGGGGGTTCCGTAATCCAAGAGGCTTTGGGCTGCCAAATGTAAACACTCCGCCATGATTTCTTTGTTTAGATAATTGAACCTGCCTCCCTCTCCCTCGCCGACTCTCGCTCGCTTTTATTTATTTATTTCCCCCCCTCCCGTCATCATCATCATCATCATTATGGCTTGTGTGGGGTGTTTTTCTTTTTTTTTTTCTTTTTTTTTTTTTTAATTTAAGGGTGGTTATTTACTAGCTGCATTTATCAATCGCTGTTTTTACAAATATTTAAATATATATATATATTTATCTTTAAATATAACCCTATGGGGTGGCGGTGGGAGGCATGAAGGACAGGAAGTTGTTCCCGCAGGTTTGGGGGCTGAGGTTGTTCCTCCTCCCTTGGCTGCTGGGGCCGGTGGGGCCAGGGGCAGCGGCCGCATCACCTCCCGCAGCGTCTGGCGCTCCCAGGGAAAAGGCAGCGGTTCCAAAGGCATCGCCCGCTCCAGCGGGAAGGATACTGTGTGCAGGGGGGAGACGGGTGGAACCTTCCAGCCTTAAGTTTCTTCACTGAGTTTCCTGAAAATTCAAGCTGGACAGGAAAGCATGCATATTATTACTATCTATCTATCTATCTATCTATCTATCTATCTATCTATCTATCTATCTATATCTATCTATCTATCTATCTATCTATCTATATCTATCTATCGCTCGATTGATCGATCGATCTATCATTTATTATTATTATTATTATTATTATTATTATTATTATTATTATTATTATTATTATTATTATTATTATGCTGTGGGAATTCCCTGTCGGGAAATAGGAGTTTATTATAGGAACTGTACAGGAAGTGTTAGCATGACAAGTTCCACCTGCAGCCCTCCTTTGGCAGCAAGTTTCTCTATTTTGAAATACCAGTATATTTCCTGTCAGTACTACTTGAAAAAGACCTCAATGCACTTCATCAGTCTAGAAATCCCTTTCCACAGACCTGATCCTATCAGATCCCAACTGCCCAAGGCTCTGGTGGAAGTGCCTAGGGAAGCAGGAGGCTGACTTGCAGCGTACCAAGCCTGTCAGCTACCCAGGAAGGAATGCCCTGCAATTGCCATGGGGTATTTGAGGAATTTTAGGCACCGCACCTCTCAGGAATTGTGCCAAAGACTCCAGAAATTCTCCATGGCTTATATTTTATTCCTTCTTGTATTAAGGAAGAGCACCACCTCCTGATGTCTCCCTGCTCAATCATTTCTAGGATGTCCTCAAATGCCACAGAATGTACAGCATTACCTTTCCTGTTCATGTATGGAAAGAGAAATACAGCTGAGACAATAGAAAGAGTAGTTAAATAGGAAAACAAGACGATTTACTCAACCCGTTACACAATAAAGAGAAAATACTTTGTGACAGCTACCAATCATCAGATGGTTTCCAAATCCATGGGTTCAAAACCCATCAGATGGGTTTCCAAATCCTGAGCCTCTTGCTACAATACTGGCTACCATTCCCACAACCAGCTGCCTTGGCTTTGGAAACATACTGACAATTTGTGCCTTATTGTACCTTAAATACTGTGTCTGCTGTGGGCAGAGGTCCTCTCTCTGCAAAGGGATCACCAGTTTGACCCCCCAAACCTTGTCTCACTAATCCTTCATAAAGCTATTGTTAATTGTTGGGATAAGGAGCTCTGCATGTACAGTGAGCACAGGAAAAAAAAAAAAAAGAGTATACATACGTATTATACCGACACTCTAAAGGAATACAGGGTTGCATTGCAAGTTACATTTTAGAACAGCACAGGTATTTGTAAACTATTTTACAGTAAAATACTGGCAATTTGATTGGGTCATAGACAGAGTGGAGCAATTGCCATGCAGGCTTTGGAGTTGCTCTTAATAGTTTGGCAGCACTCAGGTCACCCCCTCACAGTCTGACCTCACTTCAGTGTTTCAAATACCAAAAGAAACACCATCACTTGGTTTTCCACAGTGATCCTAGCTCTGCTGTCCTACTTTTTTCTTCTTCTTTTATACAGAAGTTCAAGAATATTTCCCAGTTTCTGCTTTCTCTGCTTCCCTTTTTAAGGTTACGCTATTTGCTTACGATGCTATTTTTATTTCCCTGCTAGGATTTCATTGCAATCTCTCCTTTGTGGATTTTTTACTTGTGGCCATTTAAATTCATTTCAGGCTAGAACTTGGCATAAAAGTTCGCAGCTTCTCAGCCAGATTTGAATTACTATATTTAATCTATATTCAGCTCTTAGGATCTTTTTTTTTTTTTTTTTTTAAATGAGAGTGAAGATAGAAATAATTTTGTTGTGGTTCCAAATGGTGCCATCATTCTGTACTGCTTTCAGAACTTGTCTTCATTCCACTAACTTTTCAAAAGGACATGCCAGAGCATTGAAGATGTGACTTTAGAAACATGTTGCTTTACAATCCTTTAAAAACAGTTTATTTCAGCATAAAACTTTGTGAAAATTAAGCATTGTGGGTGCACAAGGGTATTTTTATTGCACTCTTAGATATGGCTTGCTGAACAGCAAAGCCAGTTTTCATGTGGGCTTAAAAGAGGGCAAAAGTCTTTGTTATGCTTTGTAAAACAGATTTGCACAATTGTGTTTGTTATTAATTTTTGGGAATATTCAGGCAGTGCTGTGTTGGCTCTGCAGATATGAAGAAGTAATGCCATGCAGATTTTTATTAAACAAAGCTACACTGGATAGCTTAAATTTTCTTTCTCTATTTATGCATTTAGAAAAACAAATGCAGTACTTAATCCAAGATGAATTCCACTGTGTAAGTCCAGCTGAATAGTTGCTTGAAAATATTTCTACCAAGATAAACTTTTGTTTGCTCCAGGATTTCTATTATTATTATTAATATTAATATTAATATTAGTATTATTAAACTTTTTTATTACAGTGACCAGAAAATGGCAGAGCTAGTGGTAGTATTAAATAGATGTAATTAAATAGTGGTTTTTGTCACAGCACATGCATAGGTGATAGAGGGATCCTGTGATGGATCCTGCAGTCTTTCACTAACTGCTGGTTAGAAACACTTTCACCAGTCAGACTGGGCAGAGTTTTCCAACCTCTTGCTTCCAGCTGTGGGAAGTTATGGAAAATCACACCAGACCTGCATGATAGTATTTCCTCTGACTTTACAGAGCTGCTAATGATTGATTTTATAATTAGCTACTGTATCACACCCCGATGTGATGAGCAGGAGCAGAGAGGACCCTGCAGTGCTGGTGACAAATGGAGTAAGTGGCAGTGCCTGTCTCGAGAGTGAGCAGGCCCAAATCCAGCAGATCCGTGGCTGAGTCCATCTTGACTACCCTGCTCACCTGTGCAGAGAGCAGGCTGCTTTTTCCACGCTTTGGAAAAGGCTGGCAGAGGGCACTAATTACTGGCCTGAGTGGGGATAGAAGTAGAAGGATCATAGGAGAAAGTGTGCAAGGAGCTGCAGTAATGTGATCCATACTGAAGTATCTTTATAATGTCTATGATGGAGTATCTCGGCTGGAAATGGGCACTGTAAAAGGCTCTTTTGCAGGCAAAGTTTGAAAGAATGTTACGAATATGCACATTTTCCTCCATTCTTCTCATTTGGGACGTAAGTCTTTATGGTAAAGTAACTAGATTCTTTGCAAAGCTGTTTTCTGTATTAGTTTACCTTCCCTGAGATTACATATGAAATGTGTGTGTAAAAAAGCAATGATGTGTAGACTGGGAATGTTTTAATCAATGCAATATGACAATGTATCCCCTGGTCATAAAATGGTTGCATTGTGAGAGCTCTGTAATAAGCTGCACTATTGTGCAAGACAGTAGAAAAAAGATCTTAAAAACAGCAGTAAAAGTCTTGCCTAAAAGAAAATATCCAGATTCTAGAGTAAGGTTGAGATTAAATCTGTCAGCCTAAGAGCCTGCATCTGCTGGACCAAAAAGAAAAGACTCAGGTGCTGAGTTTCTCTTTTGCAAGCAGATCTTTCCGCTGTAAATATGGGTAAAAGCAATTACAGAAAAAAATATTAAAAATAAAGTCTTTCTTTGAGTGCTTTGCATGGAGTTAACAAATTGCTATTGCACAATAGTAACACTGCATTAATTATGTCACTATTTTGCCTTCATGATAGATTATCATTAGTAATTTATCACTGTAACATATTAATAGTGGTATTAGTTTTTAAACAAAACAATCATATTAGTAACGTACTTGTCATATTAGTGAAAATTAACAAAATTATGAAAAATTGCTACCAAGACTTTGGGGCTCTAACACTGCAAGGCTCTAACTTTTTTCCCAATCCAGCAGTTTTTCAATGAACATATATTTTCTTGCAAAGATAAAGAGACTGTTTTACAGATCCAGGAGCCATTTAAAAATATTTATGCCATCCTTTTAATGCCAAATGTGTGTATTCTTTCATGAGTCTAATATTGTTATGTTCTGCCTTTTAAAAGCCTGTGTGCTGTCATTCACAACCCCTGGCATGAGGTTTGAGGTGATTAACTCCCTTTTTGTTGGGGATTGGGAGCCTGTACTCTCTGGTGAACTTCTGGAGCACAGTCTAACTGCCTTTCTAAAGGATTAAGGAACATTGCTTGCAGGGCCACTTATTGTGAACTTGTCCATGTGCCTCCAACCAGACCCCTTTTAGGGTCATTTTTCAGGGGGTTTCTGTTTGTTTGGAAGGGAGGTAGCTTCAGGCCCCTCTGAGCATCCTCCTTCCCACTTATTCATCCTGACCTTTTGCCTTTCCAGCATCTTTATGTCTTCCATGGGATCTCTTGCTAATATACAAAGATGATGTATAGGTTTCTCTCCAAAAGTAACAACTTGAATTAGGGAATGGGGTTAGAGAGTGGATTTCCTGCTCCTTCCCTCATGAACATCTGGTGCCTCAGAATCAAAAAAAAAAAGAGAAAACATTGACAGAACCCTGAAACTCCTGTTTGGAACTGAAATCACTGGTTTTGCCTATTGCTTTGTGAAACCAAGAGGTAAATCTTCAACCTCTTGAGTGTTTAAAAGCCAGCAAAATACAACTCTTTCCTCATTTATGCATCTACTTTGTGTTAGCTGTTTTATACTAAGCAGTTTCTTTGGCTTAAATCTGCTAATTTAGTGGAAGACATGAATAGATTTCATTTGATTAACAACAGAATGTCACACTGGGAAAATAGGTATTTATGGGCAAGCAATAGGCTACAACAGGCTACCTTTTCTTTCAATAATCACTTGAGCCCAGTCAGTCAAATGCAGATGAAATGATATATTTCTTGAACTTTCAGAATGACCACAAAGATGGCTTTATATTCTTGTCCGTGTGCAAGATTGCTTTCTTTGACCACATGATTCATCAGTAAGTATTTTGGAGATTCAGAAGCACAGCAGAATTCCCAATATCTGTCTGATAATCCTCGGTCTGTTTTTTGCTCAAGTGTCTCTAGACAAAATCCATAATGCCACAAGCTGGAACCATCCTAGGGGAATCAGACCACTGAACAAGCCTGCACCAACTACAGATGTGACCCAAACATACAACAGGGTTAACAACAATGTCCTCATTGCAAAGATTAATTAATGCTTATAAACAGCGTTTAT